TCAGGCTTAATGCTCATTAAAAAAGGGCTCGCTCATTAGGTTTAATGTTCATTAAAAGAAAAGGCACTGTTGATTAGGCTTAATGTTCATTAAAAAAGAGACTTACTCATTAAGCCTGATGTTTAAATATTTGTTCAGGCTACAGAATTAGGGAATAAATCAGTCTTGTAACGATCTTTTTTTTTGGCTCGTCACTTTAAAATAAATTTATTTGACACAAAATTTTGCAGTAGGACTAAATGAAATTGCAATTATAGCCTTACTAGTAATGTTATGATAGTGATTATGATGATAATCATGATAGTGATTATGATGCAATAACTCTGATAGTAACAAGTTAACTAAAGGAAATTATCTTGATGACTTTTAAGTAATTCAAAATTCAATTTCAAGGGGGTTAACTGATGAATTAATAAGTATATGACCTCAAATTAGAATAATAATTATTAATTTTACTTTTGCATCTATTTTCTTATTGTTACATTTCCTTTTTATTTTCATTACAAATATATTTTCTTGATCCTGCGATAGCCGATCGATTCAAACCGATCCAATTGTAAAGCTTTGATTGCAAATCATTTGGTTATGCATTTTATCGTCACAACTGATAATAGTAATATTAATGATAATGATGATAGTGATAATGCGAATGATAATGATATTGGAGATGCAAAATTGCTAAGAAAAGATGGAAGTAATGCGATGGCAATAATAACATAAAACAGAATAATCATCGGATCTATTATTAAGTCCAATATAATGAAAAATATTTTTTAAAAAAAATGAATTTGCAATTAAAATAACTGATGAAGGAGAAGTTATTACGAGGATGGTGTTTTTAATTAACAGATGATAAAAAATTTTTCTAGGCTCATCATTAGCTCAGCCTCAAAAATTTAAGGTCACCAGAAGTTCATCTATCATTTAAGTGAGTGATATAATTCCCATTCAGTAATAAAAAAAAATTTGAATTTGTTTGATGGAAGAAAAAAAATTTTCTATCTTTTCAATTTAAAACTTTTCGAGGCATTTTTTGGGCATGAAACGTTGTCAACTTAATCTTTTTCTCTCTCTTATTGCTTCAATTTTTTGCAGTCTTAAGTCAATATGAAAATGAGCCAATTAGTTTTGCATATCACTTTTCGCTTAATTAGTGATTTTGAAACAATGCACCTGATATACTCCCACTCATTTTACTTTGCAAATCAAATAAGTTAGTGGAAAAATTCATAAAAAACTTCTAGCAAAGTTTCAATTTTTTATTTATAAATTTCAAGGGTAAAAAAGAATTAATTTTTGTTCCAGAATAGCAATCAAGAAATTTAAAATGATATTTGTGGAGTGAGTGTGAATTATGAAATGAGAAAACTGAGCGCAATATGAAGTGATACTGAAATTTAAAATTTTGTTGCTAAAAAATTGAAAATAATTTTCAAAAAACACAATAAGAACTAAAAGAATGGATTTCGTTTCCAAAGAAAACTGCATGAAGAGTGCAAAGAGAATGTAATTAAAAATTAGAAAGTGACAAGAGTATGATAAGCAGAAAAAATGCTTTAGAAAGATTTGCTTATTTTAAAACCGAAAAAAAAGAAAAAGACAAATTTTGTTTAAACAAACATTTTTAATGTGTCAGTTTTTTTTTTTGAAAATCTTTTTGATTATTTCTAGCAGCAGAAAAAAAAAGCAAAATTATTTGTCTGTGAAATAATACTTCAGTTGTTTTAAAGCAAAGAGAGAAGGATTAAGTTTTATTTTAATTAAGCAATTAAAATTAAGTCAAAGATTCCTGCAAAAAATGAAAAAACAATTCAAGCGTTAATAATACTATAAAATAAGTAAAAAAATTGGTAGTGAAAAAAAAATGGATAAATTTGCTTCATTTAAAATGTTGAAATAATAATGAAAATAGAAAGTTCATAAAAGCATAAGGAAAAAAATGGTGCGTTCATTTTAATTTCTTTTTCTGGGATGAATTTAAAAAGAGAGAGAGAAAGAGAGGGAGGGAAGAAGGGAAAAAGGAAGATGCATGAGGAAAAGAAAAGGAATAAGTATTAATTTGAACTGTTGATTGATCATTTTGAAATAAAAACAGATCACATTGGAAAATTATCTTTATCAATAAATGCAACTATAAGTGATAAAATGTTTATGATATTTAAATAATAATGATCGCTTTACTGAATGAACTTATTCTAAATGATTTTTTCTTTCTTTTTTTTCTTAAATACGTGTATAAGGACATATATATTTTCAAGCATTGTAATTAGTGCTCTTTTAGCATATATGTAAATAAATCATTTATAGAGTAAAATAATGATAGTTATAAATGAGAAAGACGACAATAAAGAATTTAATATATTTTTGATCGATAATATCTTTCTATCATTTATTATCATAAAATTTTTTCGATAATTTTAATTCGACAGAATAATGTGGAATAAATTCGTGAATTATTTAATTAACTAAAACTAAAAATTTTCTTTGATGCTTCAAATTTAAAACTTATGGAAATAATAGCACCACTTTCAGTGAATAATGATATCTGTTAACTTTTAATCTTACATCAGTAAATATCAAATTTCATTGTAATCACAAAACAATTTGGCAATATAGTAATGATTAAATAGTTTAGGTGAGAATGATATTAGAGTTTGCATCTTTTCCAGAAGATTGCATTTAGCCATTTTACGATCAAAACATCATCAAACAATGTGACAAGTTTCGAACTGATCGTAATGATGTTTGAAGGCAAATTCAAAATTAAAATAATTTATGAATTATTATTGATTTATCCATTCAACTCTTTCATTTCATTCTTGTCTATCATAAATTATTTGATAGACTTCAATCATGCGATGACCGAAAAAAGTAATTGAAAGCATAAATTCTATATGAAATATAATTTATCAAGTAATTAGAATCAAAAGATTAGATTAATACATGTTAAATTATGAAGAATAAGAAATGCATAATCAAACTAATTCATAATCTCAAATAATTTTTATTTAACAATTCCATTCTTCTTTTCATTCCAATATTCTTTGGTTTATCATTTATCAAATTGAAAGAAAAAAAATTACTATATTGTGATTATTGAAGACAGAGAAAAATAAACAAACAAAATAATGCAAGATATTTGAGAATGAATGAAGTATTTGTTGACGGAATGATCAGATCATGCGGTAATAATGCATTCAGCATTTCCATACTCCATTACTTACTCTAGCAGAAAATGTTTATCTTCTCGATCGATCTGAATGTTTAGATGAGCTTTTTCTAGCTTTCTGGAATAAATTAAAAACGGAACACGTACAAACTGCGATCAATGCAAAACTTTAAATCGAATTGCGAAAATGGTATTCGATTGGGTTCAGTGATAAGAGATAACGATGTGATCAGAGAGATATTCTTAGTAATACGGCAAAATTACCAAATTTTAATTATTCATTCAACTTCAATGTTTTACTATCATAATCCTAATTATCATGTATTTGATTATCTTTCCTTCCTTTCAAGTTTTAATAAGAAAGCACTTCTTATCATCTTTATTAAATGATTGATTATATAACGAATAGTAGTAAAAGATACATAAATATAAATATGTATCATCAATGCTGAAGCTAGCAAAATGTGATCATAAAAGATGATACTTTTTCAAAACATTCAACAACAATTTTATATCTTCCAAGCAATAAAATTTGAGTCTGGAAGAAATAAAATATGAAAAATAAAATTTGGAAAATTTTGAGAGCTTTTTATGAGAACAAAAAATTATTCAACAAATAAATAAATGTTGTTTAAAATTTCCATTTACAATTACATACATGGTAACATGCCCCATAATAAGTAGCAAATAATATGAACAAAAAAAAAATTGAATTGAAAAGAAAAAAAGTGTCAAAATTGTAAACAAAAAAAAAAAGAAAAATTGAAAAAATTTGATCTTTCATTTTTAATTTCTGTACATATATAAAAGTATATAAATGATATTTACATGTACAGATTAAATGATTTATATATTATTGTATTTTTTTTTTCATTTCTTTTCTGTGTAGATAGTTTTGACAATAATCATCATATTTACTTTAAAGTTTTAAACAATAATCACTACATTTACTTTAAAATTTTAAATAGAAAATTATTCAACAAATAATTAAATGTTGTTTAAAATTTTCATTTACAATTACATACAAATATTATAATTTCAATTATATTTTTCTTATTTGTAGTAGAAATAAAAATGAAAACGTTGATAACCAATGAATGTAACTATCAAACGATTTGATTTAATTCGATTTATCAGTAAGCATTGGAATTATCTAACGTGAAATCAGTAGATGGCACTATTTTTTAATTTAATTAAAGCATTTTAGAAATGTCACTCGTCGTTTTCTTAGCTGTTAAAATTGATAGGAAGAAAGTAGTGATTTTATTTAAATTTTTTTCGGAGCAAATATCAGAAAATGTCGAAGCGAGAAGAGCAAGAAAATAGTCATAACTGTATTATACTCTTCTCAAATATAAATAAGGATTTATTTCTTATAATATAGGAATTTATTGCATTTGGGATTTGAATTTTCATTAGCTCCTTTTAACGTAAAACTGGAAATGTGGCAAATTGTGAGTCGACTTTTGAAAATTTTAAGTTTTGTTCAGGTCGATGTTTGGTTGGTACTTCCGTGCGTATTTTAGGTTGAATGATACTTTCGTGCGTGCCTTAGGTTGAGTGATACCTTTGTGGATGTTTTAGGTTGAATGGCACTTCCGTGTACATATTAGGTTGAATGGTACTTTGTGCGTGTTTTAGGTTGAATTGTACCTTCGTGCATGTTTTAGATCGAACGGTACTTCTGTGCATGTTTTAGGTCGAATGGTACTTTCGTGCGCATTTCAAACCAAACGGTACTTTCGTGTATGTTTTAGGTTGAACGGTACTTCCGTGCGTCTTTTAGGTCGAGTGGTACTTCTGTATGGTTTCAGATTGAATGGTTTTCCAAATGGAAGAACAAAGAAAACAATTTGGGGCACGTCGGTTGAATGATGAGTCGGAAGTATTTAAATACAACGCGTGGGATGATGTGGAATGGAAATTTGAACAGGAAGAAGAAGCACGTAATAAGATAGCTAACCAAAAAAAATCACCTGTTCCATCTCAGGAAGCTGAATATTTGCTGCAAAATCCTGCTGACCAATGGGATACATTCTATCGGACACACAAGGACAAGTTTTTTATGGATCGTAATTGGCTATTAACCGAGTTTCCGGAGTTGAATGTTGAATGTCGAGTAAGTTAATATTTCATACTTATTGATTGCCACATAGTTTATTGAAGTTTGACTAGGTATATTAATTGAAATTGAATTTCATTTATTGTTTAACCAGATACTATCATAATGAGGGAGTACATTACGAAGCGTAAAAAAAATTAAAAAGAAAACGACATACGTATTTAAAGTGATGTTTTCTTCTTTTAGGAATAGAGTTTGATGTTAAAACGTAGAGAATATAACAACGAAATAACAGTTATAAAAACAGTCTTGTATTGCCGACTTTATTTTTTAAGAAATGTAAAATGGTATAAGCTCATACTGATGTTAAGATGTTTTTCTTTTGCTGGGGAGCAACAGGAAAAGGAGGTAAAAAGCGGAAAAAAAGAAAGTTCTAGGTGTTGTTTTTACTTTTTAAGTTTTACTCTTTAGTTATTGCAGAGAATCTATTCCTTGTGCATTGTTACAGAAATTGGATGATCCACTTCGTGTTCTGGATGTTGGATGTGGCGTCGGCAATGCCACAATACCGTTGTTGCAGGCATCCGAACGATTGGGAAAAATATTTATTTATGCTTGCGATTATTCACTGCAGGCTGTGGATATTCTGAAGCAGGATGCGGTACGGTGGTCCGACAGGTGTAAACCGTTTGTATGGGATATTACTGGGCAAATAACGGAAGTTATACCTGCGGGATCCCTCGATATAGTTCTTTGTATTTATGTACTTTCGGCAATTCCACCGAAAAAACAGCAGCAGGCAGTTGATAATTTGGTCAGGTGAGCTGGGATATTAAAAATCGTTATTTTCCATCCTTTTTTACATTGCCTGAAGGAGAAATAACATTTGTTCCCGTTTTGTATAGCATCTTTTTGTCCGGAATTCAAAGAATCATATGTTAGAAATTCTATCGCTTAATGCTCCTTACCATGGAAAAAGCAAAGTATGTTTTCATCAAGCTTAATTATGGCATTTTATTTAAAATATTTAACAGTACAGCATGCGGAAGGTTTTTAAGGTTATGTACATTATTTGGGGTGAAAATAATTTTTTTATGGTATTAAGTATTACTTCAAGTGATTTCCACTTACTAATTTGAAATGATTTCAGTTTGCTAAAACCAGGTGGTATAGTATTGTTGAAGGATTATGCACAATTTGATATGACGCAATTGAGGTTCAGGAATAATCGCTTGATAGATGAGAATTTTTATTGTCGTGGTGATGGAACTCTGGTTTATTTCTTCAGTCAGGATGAATTGGACAAGTTATTTACTGAAGTTGGCTTGAAAAAAGAAACTAATATTTTGGATCGGCGATTAATAATAAATAGAGCTAAACGAGTGAAAATGTACCGCATGTGGGTGCAATGTAAATATTTAAAAAGTGTTTCATCATGACTTAATTTCTGTGATAAATAGAATATAAACATGTTCTTCATTTATAAGCTTAATTTGTTTTTATAGAGGTTTAATACGGAATACTGTTGTTAGGAACGGCATGGGATTAATCATGTACTAGTTTCCGGACGTGATTACACTGATTGATTACATTTCTGAAATGATAACTAAAAAAGGATTTCCCTTACAGGCCAGTCGTAAATTTTTGTACATTTGTCACATTTCTCAATGCGTTTTGCTCTTTTCTCTTTTCAAATAAAAAGAATCATCGAAATACTGAGCTTCCTATCTGCCGTTTCGCTTTGCAATACAATCTGTCGAATAACCGGTGCAGTCATCTGTTGATCGACCACTTTACCAGCTCTTCTTAGTGATAGATCAGTGAAGGCAGTAAACTGGAAGAAAAAGAAGGAAACAATTGGAAGAGTGGATATACAATGCAATATTAAGGGTTTAATAGAATAAAATCACCGAGGTGCCTTTTTATTTATGTATATTTGAAGCATAATGGGATATTTATTTAAGACAAACTATAAAAGAATTATCTTATTCGGTTAAAGCCAAATATTCCGAATTAATTCTAACCAGTTCGTGATCTGAGTAAAATAATTCAATAACAATAAATGCACGGGTTTCCAAATATTTATCATATCAATATAAGAATATTGCCAGATAACACAGCAGTTGTGCAAATTGAAACCTCTTGCCAAATTCGCAAAATGAGAAGCGCGTTAAATGATTCATGGCAAGTTCATCCATTGCATCAATTTTTGATTTAAAGTATTAAACATTCCATTTATAACAAATTTTTGGGAGTGAGGCTATTAGTAAAATTTTTTTGAAAACACACGAGATGAGATGAGCTAAAAGCTAGATAATGACATCGAGAATGGGTAATATTAAACAATGAAATTAACAATTTATATAGCTCGAATAACAGCCATCACTTTCCGACAACGACAAATCAAGTTTTCCCGGTTGTAATCGTAGATGTAAATGGCAAAAAACCTTTTTTTTACGTCCTTGAAACTCTAACCTTTCATGGTTCCTATACCTGTGTTTTTTGGCTGTTGATTTGTCGTTAGTTAAGCTAGCCTTACTGACTTATTTGATTGTTGAAAGCTTGCAATGAATATTTTCCATCCTAGTACAGCGAAGCCCTTCATGACACAATGGTTCAGAATATTATACGAAAATGCAGTTTCATTACAGCGATGCAACCGACACAGTATGATAAAAATTGCATACTGAAGCATTCTAACAACTTTGAAGCAATCAGTATGTTTAATTATTAACAATATTTTAGTTAAATCAATAACGATCTTTGATGTAGGAGCGAATCAATCATCACAAAAGCTCATGCTCTGACGATCAGGATGAGATTCGAACTCACGCGGGGAAACCCCAATGGATTAGCAGTCCATCGCCTTAACCACTCGGCCACCTGATCTACGGTTATTAATCGAAATGAAATTTCAAAATTAGGCATTTATTGAAATTATTCATTAACATTTCAACTGAATTTAACAAACGATCTCGAGCAACTAACTGACAAACTATTATTGTTCAGTTTAATCAAGCAATTGTAACACTATCGAACTTCCCGAAACTTTTCATCAGAAATTTTGCGACCAAAATTGCAGGCATTTATATACGTTCCTTTTTTTTTTTCTTTCAATCCTTTAATATTATATTAAAATTGCTTGCATAATTTTGACATCAAAGTTCCATAAGATATTAAGTATGATAAACATACAATATGGTTAAACTATTAAATGCGCATATTTTGATGTCAAAGTTTCTGATTTCAATAATTCAGCTTATAAATCCCAACGTTTTTTTTTTCGCTCAAATATATGCTACTCATTTAATTTTAAATCAAATTATTAAAAGAATATTTATGTCGAAAGCTTTTTAAATACAATTTAAAAATTCATTACATATTTCAGGCTACGTCATTTTTTCTTGATTGTCCTACCGTTGCTCATTATGTACAGGAAACGCATGCTACTGCACTTTTAATAGCTGCCGCTGTTCATGATTTAGATCATCCCGGTCAGTAAAACAATCTGCTAATTTCAATCATTCCGATCGATATCTCTCAAATCATTCATATCTTAAATAATTCCCTTAGACAATTGTTTATTTCCAAAAATATTATTGGTAACTTAATCGATGGATTAATTTAAATTTAATAAAAAATAATTTGCGCTTAATTGATTAATTTCAAACAATAAATTGTAGCAAGATTTTAATATAAATTTTTATTTACTATAAAATTTTACAGCGTCCAGCAAAATTTGACAATCATATACTTTTTATTTTTCATGGCAAAATATTCTTTGAGTGACAACTAAGCCATTACTTTAGCAATTCTTTGCAAATGTGATGCATTATAAAATGCAATAGTATGATGTCATTTAATGACAGTTCAATTAGAAAAAAAAATTTTTCGAAAATGTCAAACTTAACATATATATTCGTGCAGCAATCATTTGCAATAATATATCTAAAATTTTGAAAAAATTTATATTTCCAAAAAAAACGGATTTTAAAACATAGCAATGTTTTTTTTTTTAAATATGCAAAATCATTATAAAACAATTTATTAATTACTACATGTATGTTCAAAAAATTAACTTAACTACAATATGCAATAATTATTATCAGACAGTTATTAACTCCTATTAATGACTACTTTTACACTCAAATTATGAAACAATTAGTCACTTTTTTATGAAACAATTAATTACTACTTGTATACTCAAGAAAGTAAATTTCAAAACAATTAATATTTTTTTAATAAACATTCAATAATAATCATACTGCTATATGTAGTAAAATTACTACTTATATATTCAAAAAAAAAAAATAAATTACACTCAGAATCTTTTTAATAAATATGCAATAATCATTAACAAACAATTGATTAATCAATACTTGTATGCTCAAAAAAAGTGAATTTCAAAATATAAGAATGTCTTTTTAATAAATATATCAAGTGATCATTAGTATTATATAAAACAATTAATTAATTAATTATTAATTATGTACTCAAAAAATGAATTTCAGGACGTGGTAATGCTTTTTTAATAAATACTCAACAACCGTTGGCATTGTTATACAACGATCAATCAGTACTGGAAAATCATCACATCGCATTAGCATTTCAACTTACCTTACAAAGTACCAATAATATTAATATATTTGCTGGACTTACACGGGAAGAATTTGCAGCATTACGACAAGCTACTGTTGAAATGGTTTTAGCTACCGATATGAGTCGACATTTCGAATATTTAACAAAATTTCAACAAGTTGTTTCAAATTTAAAGGTATTAATTATTCTTAATAAAACTTTTTAACAGTTGTTTAAAATTTAAATATATTACTCTTTCTTTTGTTATCCTTTTTATTGCTAATCTTTCTTTTTTTTGCTTTTATTTTCAAATATAATTAAAATTATTTTTAATCAAAATTTTTTCACGTTTATCATCTTAACTGTTTTAATGATAGCAAAGCATAATTTTAAAATGACAAATAAAACATGACAGTATTCCCAAATGATTATTCTGTGATAGCAAGAAAATATGAATTTTTGAGAGAAAAAAAAATGAAAAAATTATATGCAGCTCAATCTTTCATTTTTTAGATTTCATGAAATTTTCCAAAAAAAAAAACTATTTCTATAAATTATGGTAATATCTACCTGTCCCTAATTAGCTATAGTAAAATTGTATATTTAAAATTATTTTTCTTTTCAGAAAATTTTCCATAATTGATTTCTTGAAATATTTTGAATAGAAATTTCATCTTTAATTTTACTTTGTTCTAAAAATTGAGTTGGAACAATTAAACATTTGAATTAGAATAATTTGGCATTTTTTTTTGTTGCCTACGGTTTCTTATTTCCTTAAGCATAGAAAAAAATTTTTGCAATCACTTTTTTTTTTTAAAAAAAAAATCGAATTCAAAAATTTGTTCTTTGCAATAATTCATTTAGTTTATCACCACAAATTTTATTAATTTGATATTTCATTTTTTGAAAATAATTTTTAGAGAAATATTGCGGAGAAAATGATGGAAAATTTTTAAATATTTTTATTTTAAATGTTAATTTAACAAAAAATGAAAGAGAGAAATTTTTTAGGATAATGAAGAAAATGAGAATAATGTATCGTTGACGATATGTCGAATGCTAATTAAATGTGCGGATATCGCAAATCCGACAAGGGAATGGGAATTATGCGAAAAATGGGCAATGCGTATTGTGGAAGAATATTTTGATCAGGTTCTTCTGTATTTCATTAATTTAATATTAATTAATGAGTTATGAAATAATTTAGTATGATTAATATAGGAATAAATTATTATGAGCAAAGTAGAATTATCGATTAATAAATTACGGAATAATTTGCCATTATAAATATAAGAAAGGAATGTGTTATACTTGATTTAATTTTATCTGTAATTTATTGATTTATAAATTAAGAAATAATTTAATACCATTGGTTTAATACTTAATGCCCACCAGTAAACATAAATTAAAAATTATATAACAATAAATGTTAATCATAATTTTCATCATTTTCTTTTTTTCATTAATAATTTGTTGATTTTCATCATTGAAATAAAAATTTTCTTTTATTTTTTAAGTACATTTTTAA